CCAACCTTTTATTCCTGGACCCACAAATCCTGGCTGTGCAAAAAACAACACTATATACTGAACACTGATTTAGAGCATACAGAGTCTCCTGGAGAATCTTGCCTCAACCCTGCATGGTATTCCCACCTGGCTGACACTATAATTAAGTCTTCAAAATTAAAAGAGAGAGAACTCATGGACATGGACAACAGTATGGTAATGGTGGTGGTGGGGAGGTAGAAGAGAGCATAAGGAGGATAAATGATGTTGGAAAAAATAAAAGAACTACATGGACTTATTAAATTCTCACAACATCCCCACAAAGGTGTTATTTAAAGATGAGAAAATGAAGCTTTGGAATACCTCTCACCAAAAAAACTAGGAGTGTGAAGAACATGGTAAGGCCAGTGAATTTCATGATTGTGAACCTAATGCCACACTCCCTTTTCAGTGCAGTAATTTCCTTGATTAGAAGCAATACTGTGTAGAATACTATGAAGGGCAATAAAGCATTCTGTTAAGTATACTGATACTTGCATTCAGGGAAGGAAAACCCATATTCAGAGTGTCAGTTTCAGTAAGAACAAAATAGTGCCCTTTCCACGATGTAAATAGTCTAAGGTAATTAACCTGGCACCAGGTAGCTGGCTGATCACCACAGGAATGATGTCAGTCAATGTTGGTCTCTGCTGCTGGCAGATTGGACATCAACAGTGACCATAACCAGGTAGGCCCTGGTGAGTGGAAGTCTGTGTTGCTGAGCCCATGCATGACCCTTACCCCTGCTACCATGGCCACTCTGTTAATGAGCACATTGGGTGATAACAGGAGTGGCTGGTGAAATAGGCTGAATGGCACCCACAGAACAGGCCATTCTATTCACTTACTAAAATCTTCCTCTGCTGAGGTCACATTTTGGCAAGCATTCACATGGGACACAAATATTGTCATGTTCTTAGGGTGCTATAAGAGATTTATCTACATAACTCTTCCCCAGGTTTTCTTGTCACCAATTTTTCAAACATGTTCCTATGAATTCCCTAACCATCCATCCAAACTATTGACCACTGCCCATGCATCAGTGTGCAGTAGCTCATCTAGCTGTTTCTCTTTCCGAGCACAGTGAACAACCAGGTGCACTGTCCAAAGTTCTGTCCACTGGGAGGATTTCTCTTCAGTGATGTCCCCAAGAGGGGCTATAGTACTGGAGCTGTGCACTTTGGGGTCAACCTGCATATCACGTGGAACCATCTGTAACCAGGTATGAGTCTTTTCTTCCTCTGTCAACTGATCATAGGGAACTCCCCACTATGCCATAAGTATAGGTTGGGAGAGAGAAGGTACTTTGCCAGAATGGAAACCTTGGGCATTTGGTCACTTCTTCATATAATCTACTTGTGCCTTCAAGGGCATGCTTCACCCCAAATCATATATACCACTTCCACTTGATAATGGAGTGCTACTGTGCATGCTTGAATTTATGGCTTGGTGTATCAGATAAAATCCAGTTTATGGTGGGCAACTCAGGTTGCAAGGTAACTAGTTGGTCCATGATTAACTATTCAGTCCCTACTAAAGCCCATAGCAAACCAAGAGCAATTTCTAAAATGGAGCATAGTTTTCCACAGGAGATGACAGGGCTTTGCTCCTAGATCCCAGTGGCCTGTGCTGTGAGTGTTCTGTAGGCTATAGGGTTCTGTGAAAGGCTCACAACAGCCTATCTGTCACTGATACTTCAAGCACAATTGGATCTGCTGAACCATTTGGTCCAGGTGCCAGAGCATTTGCATGGTAGCCTGGATTGGATTGTTGCAGAGCCTTCTACCGTTCTAGGCCCCACTCAAAACTAGCAGCTTTTATGAATCTGGAGAGCATTATGCTAAGTGAAATAAGCCACTCAGAGAAATACAAGTATCATATTTCATTCATATGTGGAATCTAATGAACAACATGAACTAATAAGCAACAGAGAGACAGACTCATACATAAAGAACAGGCTGACATCTGTCAGGGGGCAGGGTTTGGAGAGCTGGGTGGGAGGGGTGGAGGGATTGAGGGAAAAAAAAACTCATGGACACTGACAATGGTGTGGTAATTGCAAAGGGGCAGGAGGGAAGTAGGGGGAGGTGGAGAAGGATATATGGGGATAAATGGTGATGGAAGGAGACTTGACTTGGGTAGTGAACACACAATACAGTATACAGATGATGTGTTGTAGAATTGTGCACCTGAAACCTGTATAATTTTGTTAACCAGTATCACCTCAATAAATTTAATAAGAAGGAAAAAGAAAAACTAACAGCTTTTCACTCACTTGGTAAATGTTCCAAAGCTGCATACCCAAATAAAGAATGTGTTGTCTCAATGATTACTAGACTTAATGTGGTGAGCCCACTGTAAGGTATATAAGTGTCAAATCACTAGTTGTACATCTGAAACCATTATATAATATTGTATACCAACTATACTTTAATAAAAAAAATGTTTTCTCCAAAAATCCATGGAGGTCCACAGGTGTGCCTCTATTTGGGGGGGGGGGGGGGTACATGGATTGTAAGAAGGGCCAGATGAAACAATTTATTTTTTACCTTAGAAGGGATATCTCAATATGCCCCACACTGTTGGATCCCTAGAAATTTCTGTTAAGTAGAAGCTAGGAGAGAAGCACAAAATAGTTTCTTCCTTAGAAGCCTCTGAGAAACCAAAGCTGCTGACACTTTGATCTTGGACTTTCCAGATTCTAGGTTATGAGAAAATAAATATTTTGTTGTCTAAGCCACCTAGTCTGTCTTGGCAGCCTTGGCAAAAGAATACACCTGGACATTCAAGAATATTTATAGCAGCTTTATTCATAATGTCAAAAATTGTGAATACCCCATGTACCTATCAGCAAGTGATCAGATTTAGAATTACAGTATATTTATACAGAAGTATACAATTGAAAAAAATATGTCAACTACTGATACAAGGTAAAACATGGATGAATCTCAAAGACATAATGAATGAAAAATGCCTGAACATAAAAAACAAATACTGAGGGATCAATTTCTATGAATCTCCAGAAGAGACTAATTACTCTAGTTATATAAAGTATGTCATTAGTTGTCAGGACTGGTAAAATTAACTGAAAGAGAACATCATAGACTTCCTGGGATGAAATAAATGGGGAAGTGATTATATGGGTGAATACATTTGACAAAATTTATATAACTCTTTATGGAGGTTACATTTTACTATATGTAATTATACTAGATTAAAATTGGTTAAAAAGATACACAATTTAAAATTTTCAATATTTATATGCACAAACATAAGTTAACCCTTAGAAAATAGTTTACAGGTTAAAAAGCACTTTTACAACAATAGTTTTATTGTTTTAAAAAAACACATAAGATATTTAATTTAGAAAATTTTTCTTTGCTGAAAAAAATGAGTCTCAGAAAGGTTAAGTGGTCTGTCCATGATTTATAGTTAACAACTAGGTCATATTTGTGCCTTTGGATTTCAATGTTTCTTTTATTAAACAATATTACTCATTTATCTATCACCTATCCCTTCTCCCATAATTCTAGATTGTTACACAATTTTAAATTACTCAATCTTATTTTAAATTATATTTTTCACATATTAAGAAAACTAAAAGGGCACACACAGAGTAAGTAATTTTATCATTTCCTAATTTCACTGATTTCTGCAAGACTATATTTCTGACAGGGTGACTTTTCCAGAATTATAAGATTTCTAGCATGTTCTCCTTTCAGATACTGAAATCACCACAAAGGAGCACAAGAATTAGTCAAGATTAGAAAGTCAAAACTTGTGTAAAATCAGTAAGTTAGGCAGCATCCATCTTTGATCGATGCTTGTCTATGACCAAAAGGGTCATTATATAGAAAAATAAATCATGGATGTTTTGTCACTTATAGCCTTTGTGTTCTTATTAGGAAGTTGGCATATCATTTAAAAATCCCTTGGGAATTAAAATAAAAATAAACGGTTTGTTTAACAATTTCACTTTTGTGGAATATAATGAACATAACAGTCTGAGGAATAGGGTAGACCCAGAGACGAGGAAGTAGGGTACAGACTGACAACCCTCAGAAGAGGGGGTGGTGGGGGGAGGAAAGAGATAAACCACAGAACTTATATGCATGTACGCATAACCAATGGACATGGACAACAAAGCCAGGGACGGGATGGGGGGGATGGGGAGGAGAGTGTCAACGCGGTAAAAAAGGAGAAACATCTGTAACAAAAATAAAATTAAAAATAAAAATAAATTAAAAATAAAATCGGAGACTATTCACTCTTTAGCACAGGCAAATAATCATGGGTTAAATTACCTAGTATGTTGTTATCAAGGCTATAGGCACACAATCATTTTTGTTTTTTGCTAATATTTGAACAAAATCATTCTATTTATTATTGAAAGAAAGCAAATGGGCAACTAAGCCTGATGCATTTCCTTTTTTTTTTTTTTTTAAATTAATGACACACTCAGTTTCTCCTCTCAGAAAAGCAAATATCAGTAACTATTGATTCTTGAAACATTAACTACTACAAGTAAAATTTCAAATACATAGAAAAGACAAAATTGAAGGGTCTCATAACTGGTCTTATATTTTAAAAGTTTATTGAGTAGTTCACACTTTGAAAATAGAATACATAATTAGGAATGAAAATATTGGCATTTGAAATTTGGAGAACATGATTAGAATTGAATGTTTTAGGTCATATATTTGTGGATGCTTATTGTCCTAGAAAAGTTTCCCCACCATCTCCATGTCTTCAAATCTTACAAACAGAAAGATGTCAGTGTATATGGCTTCACACAAACCATAGGGATGCCATGTTTAAAAACTTGGCAGCCCTGGCTGGTTTGGCTTAGTGGTTAGAGTGTCAGCCTGCATGCTGGAGAGACCCGGGTTCAGTTCCCGCTAAGGGCATGTACCATGGTTGCAGTTTGTCCCCAGCCCTGGTTGGGTCATGTGGGTGGCAACCACTCGATGTGTCCCTTTAACGTCGATGTTTCTCTCTCTCTCTTTCTCCCTCCCACTCTATCTGAACAAAATATCGAAAAAATGTCCTCAGGTGAGGATAAAAAATAAAAATAAAAAAGTCTCCCAAAGCAATATAGTAAAAGGACATCATGTCTAAACTCTGGCCAGAAATGAATGTTTATGAACTGCTGAGAGAAACTTCCCCAGAAGCCATTACTCTGTACCATCTTTGGTACTGAAAGATGATGAGGATGAGGTGTCTAGTAGGGAAGCACAAGTTCATAATCATGCTCAGGGGTGCAGGGAGAAGGCCTGGTGATGTCAGTCGTCCTGAGGAGGGCGTATTCTGTTTCTGACCCTTCTTTAAATGATTTCACTCTCTTTGTGGCAGAGTCAATGTTCTCATAACCATTGTCATTGGAGCTCAAGGAAGGCCTATGATAGGAGCTGGGACTAATGACAGTGTAGCACACTTCTTCAGAATCACCGCCACTATTATTTTCCTGCCAAGCACAAAGAAGAAAGAAATCAAAGATCCAGAATCATCCATCACATTTGAACTCAGTGCCCCATCTCTCCTCTCTCCTCTGATAGTGATCTCACACTTCAGGTGTCCAAAGTTTTTTCTTCAGTCCCCGATGTCTTAGAGACTTCATATTAGCAATGCATACCACAGGGTGGGGCAAAAGTAGGTTTACAGTTAGTACACAAAACACTGATATTATTCTTCTATTATTACTAATTAATTATTGTATTTTTTTCCATACAAAAAAATTGTAAACCTACCCTTCTCCCACTCTGTATGCTCTAAGTTATTACTCACTCTGCTTTAGTTTCACCTCACATTTAAAAAAGAGAGAGAAAGAGAAAAGAAGGATACTGTTATTCCTCTGAATTCTAGAGAAAAGCACTTGTATACTTTAGTTCACATATATTGAGACAGAACTCAATAAGTAACTAATAGAGTTACATAACTATAAATATTTATAAGATAAAATACAATTAATAAAATTTAGAGTGTAAGTACATTTTTTTCATATTTCATTTAGTTCTTTTTATTAGAAGTTGAGAATACAGCAAGTATGGAAATCCCATGGTGAATGGAACCATCACACAGATGCCTTTTGAAACCCCAACTTTCTATGAGCCCCAAAGATGTGCTTTGTAGATTCAGCAATTTATAAAGGGGAAGGAAACAATATTGAAAAAGACCACTATTTAATAGTGATAGAATGAAGCTGTAGAGGTCCTAATCAGCCAAGGGCCAAAAAAAGAAAACTAAAAATCTGCACAGAGCAAGCAAGCTTCTGACTGCTGGGAGCAAGGCATCAGACGCCAACCTGGTGAGAGTTCTCAGCAAGCACTGTAAGATCAAGTGCAGTGAGGCTGTTGGTTGTGAGTTGCTCATAGACCCACACATACAAATGGGCACACAGACCCCTACACAGACATACACACACCCAAAAGAGAAATATTTTTTACTGGATTATACATCGTTGATATTAAATTTCATTTTTCTTAAGGGTTTATGCTAGGTAGAACCAGATTCAACTCCTCCTTTGAAGGTGGGGGTGGTGAGAGCCCAGAGACAGCTGCCTCTGTTGGTGGTGTTTTAAGGCTGCATCTTATATCCCATATCCCAAAGTGTATCACTAAAGAGCAAGTCTGGCTTCTTATGTGTGCTGTCGCTTCCATGTAACTAAGTGAGCTTCATTCAACATGGTCACTGTCCTGCTGGACTGTCTCCTCAAAGGGAGTAAACTATTCTTTATTCTGTCAGGCACTGAACCAGTTCACACACTGAGTCTTTCTGTTGGATCCACACATTAGCATCCAGGGCAGTGACCTTATCCAGAACCAAAATACTCTTAAGTTCTTCACAAGTTCTTCACAAGAATCCATATTCTTTCTCCCTGGTTTCCAGATTCTTCTGGAGATTGGAAGGGGAGAGAAAAGAGAGAAAGAACCAAGAAAACTCTATATGGAATAAATAGGAGACCCTTCCCATATTCCCAAACACCCAGTGAAGGATGCCTCACACTTAGGGCCTCAATGTTTAGTGCACAACCCCCAGGATGTAATAATCACTTGAATCCTTGGATGATAGTAAGTCACCTACGACTCTAATGCTATTTGGGTGGTTTGCTGAGCCAAAATGAGAATTCTATGAACCAGAGCCTTCCCCTTCCGCTCTCCCTGACACCGTAACAAAGTATATCTTAAGACATAAGCTATCTTTTACTTCTAGCAACTCTTCAAAGATCCAGCTTTAAAGATTCTACCAGACTCACTGGTAATGACATACAATTTACTTTTAAAACTTCCCACCTCATTCTTCCTTAAAAGTGGGGTTCAGGGACTGCTGATAACTCTATGGTGGGAATAGGGCCTGCTTTATAAGGATTCAACTGGCTTTTTTGTTCAAAAAGAGCTGATATATCTGTCATACTGAGGCTCACCATGACAGTGTCCAAGAGGTGAAACTCATCTTTCCTAATCCAGAGGAAGCTTCCTCCCAAAGAAAGCTTGCTCAGGAGGCACCTGGACAAAGCAGACTCTTCTGGCTGGCTCTATGCCAAGAATGATGATGCCAGGGAAAGATTAATTTTTATTCTCAGGAGTAAGAAGGAGAGTTAAGGCAGTGATTTTAATAGAGGGAAATTTCCAGGGTATTCCAAAGCTCCATAACAAAGATATGGAAAACTATCACATCCCTGCAATCAGATAAAAATCACCAGAAAATTGAACAGGATGCCAGGAAGTAATCAGGACAACCCCTGTGTTAACATTTCCGGAGCTCCTCCTACTGTCTCTACTACCACTTTGCTAGCAATTGACTTTCCCAAGCAGGTGGCTCTTCTTCTTAGGGTCATCAGCATAGAAAATAAGTTGGTTTCTCAAAGGACACATTAATTAGAGCCTTTAACATTGTGTTTGCTGTTTGTGTGCTGCTTCCACTGAGAAAATGCATACCAACTCTTTCTACCTCAGGACTCCCGGAGGCTCTCAGGCGTGAGAGTCGTCATGTGATCACTGGAATGGGACTATATAGTCTCTGATCCACCAGGGTCCAGGGTATGTCAACCTTTAAAAGGCAACTTGGTGCACCAAGGCATTATACATTCTGGGGCTATTTCTTACAGTCACTTTGTGCAAAACTTAGTGTGTGGTACTTGTATATTTCATTCTGTACAAAAATTCACCCTTCCTCCCCTACTGTTATGTTTTAAACATTTGTGTAAATTCTTAAATAGTAAGTTAGAAATATTATTATATTAATTTGTTTATTCTCACAAGAGAGCATCTAAAATCACATTCCCTCCCTTTAATAGAATATAAATGTTCACCTAAATTGGTTTGCACTATTGTTTTAAGGAGAGCGAAAGGAAGAAGAATGAACTGCAAGCTAACTGTTTCCCCATCTGCTACAAATAAATATGATACGGCACAGAAGCCAGTTTTCCAAAGGTCTTACAGAGCCCTCAGTCAGTACATCCCAAGAATACGACAATGTTTCGGCCATTTCTCCTTTTCTCCAAATTGACGCACTGCACCCTTTGAGGTATGATTTACTTGTGTTTTTCTCTTCTCCATCATGTGCCTGGTGGAGACCCTTGGGTGTCACCAAGCCCAAAAGGCTGTCAGTGTTTTAGTGTTCATTTGGTACTGGTATCAATCATTAGCCAGGAAAGGAAGCCTGCTGGCCCTGGTTCAGAGTCCCAGTCCCTGGCTACTGGTAAGTGTTACAGTGACTCCTCTTCACTGTAACCTCTGCCAATCATGGGAGGACCTGTGGGTGTGAACAAAAGCACCAGCAACCACAAAGATATGTAAGAGCTGATGAGAGTGAAAGCAGATGTCACACTTGCCAGGAAAGAAGTGTTTGGATATGTGGATAGCATACATGGAAGCCCCATAATATACAGGCTGGCCATCAGCATCCACCAGTCGATCTGTCCTATGGTGGCAGCTTTCAGGAAACCCTCCGAGATGACATAGTGCTATGCAGGAATGATTCCACTCAGGACTAGGCCCCAAAATACTCTGTCTTAGTCCTCAATAATGCTGGGTAGCAAACAAGTCTCATTGGGACACTATAATGGCTGCAATGTCCAGCACATAGATGACAATCAAATAGATAAAGCATGGTTGTGGATTACAGTAGAAAGAATAAAATCCAAGAAACAATACTTCCCATAATCAAAAGGGCAATACCAGAGTAATCCAGTTTAGAGAAGAGTCAAAAGACCTCCTTCTGAATGCCAGTGGACTGTGTGCAAGAGACCTAAAAAAGAATGGCCTCCAAGAAGACTAATCCAAAGACCACCTTCTCTTGCAGAGGCACCACACAGGAGATGTTGAAACATATAAAACAGTGGTTCTCAACCTTCCTAATGCCGCGACCCTTTAATACAGTTCCACATGTTGTATGTGGGCATATCTGCATGTGGGTGGACCCGCCTGGAGATGGATAGAGGAGTGATGTCTCGATTCCTAAGACCATCAGAAATATGTGTTTTCCGATGGTCTTAGGCAACCCCAAAGGGGTCACAACCCACAGGTTGAGAACTGCTGATAAAAGATCCCAGGGACAAGAAGAATACACGACCTGAGAGATGTATCCAGATGTTGCCTGTCTCTGTGTGTGTTCGAAAACGCTCTTAAAACAGGTCTGGGTAAAAGGCATAGAGGAACCCTAACCAGGTAGCTCAGTTGGTCAGAGCATAGCACCAATATGCCAAGGTTGAGGGTTCAATCCTTGGTCAGGGCACATATAAGAATCAATGAATGTATAGATAAGTAGAACAGCAAACCATTCTCTCTCTCTCTCCCTTCCTTTCTCTCTCTAAAAATCAATCCATCAATCAATCAATAAAAGAAGGCATAGGAGCCCTGGCCGGTTTGGCTCAGCGGTTAGAGCGTTGGCCTGCGGTCCTGAGAGACCCGGGTTCGGTTCCCGCTTAGGGCATGTACCTCGGTTGCAGTTTGTCCCCGGCCCTGGTCGGTCGTGCGGGTGGCAGCCACTCGATGTGTTCCTTTCGCATCAATGTTTCTCTCTCTCCTTCTGTTCCTCTCTCTCCCTCCCACTCTACCTGAACAAAAAATGGAAAAATGTCCTCCGGTGAGGATTAAAAAAATAAAAATAAAAATAAAAAAGGAAGGCATAGGAGGCCAGTGTCCATGTGAAAGAAAGTCATTATCCTTTACTTACTCTAATAGCACATCAACCTCCCCATTCCTTACAAACTCTTCCATGCTTTCCATAGCATGATGGGCTTGTAAGAGAGGAGACATGTCCACAAATCCCTCTTCTTCCTGAGAAGCTTCATCATTGCACTCCTGCTCCTCAGAGCTTTTTTTTATGATGGGAAGAAAGAAAAGGTGCCTCTAAAACAGGCTCTAAATCTCCTTGGTGGTTGTCATTATCACTTCTCCTTGTATTATCATGTTGGTGCCCTTTTGCATGTCCCCCACTGGGGATGTATCCTACAACTCTGGATTG